CTGTTCTTTCAGTGCCACTGAACTCATCTTATCTTCCTCTGTAAACATATACACATGTAAACACAAAGCCATAAGCATTATGGAATTACTTAAAATAGTGCAAGATTGGAAACAATCTAATCTTCATCAGTAGAAGACTGGAAAAATATCCCATAGTGCATTTATCTAAGGAAATGTTTAGACAGCCTTTAAAAGGAAAAATACACTTTGAGAAATATTAAGGGAAAAGAGCACAATATGGAACAATGTTTGGTCTCTTGTTTTTAAAGAACAATTGATGCTTAGATGTATGCTAAAAGCTTATCGAAGTTGGGGCAGACACTGCTACCTGTGTCCTAAATATTGTCCTCCTTTTTTTTTCTTTCAAGACTATAAGTTTTTACAACTCTTGTTGCATGGGTCTTGCTTTATCTTGGTCTTAACCATCCAGCAGAAAAGTATAAAAACTAGGTATAAGAAGTAAAGCCATGTTGTTATGTTGAGCTGTAGGGGACTCAGGTCAACAATTTCTGACATTGCCAGTGAAGTGGAAGACCCAATACTATTATGGGCTACTGGACTCTTTTAGAATATTTGGTTGAGTTAGCACACCTATAATATTCAAATAACAGAAAGAAACAAAAAAGGGGATACAGATGAATGTCCATTTTGTATCTATGTATTCAAAGTGGTTAGGATAGATATATAGGTACATTCTCTTAATGAATAGAGAGATTTGTTCTAATGGTGTTTGTAAACAGGATATCATAGCTGCATCTTGTACAGCAAATAACCACTAGGAAGAATGTATGCAATGTGTTAATTATTGAAACTGTCCTACCAATTTGGTTTGAAACTGTCTGATTGCTATTTATTTCTCAATAAAATTATGGAAAAAATAAAATAAAAAAAGACTATAAGCTTTGTGTTGGGCATATTTCCTAGCGCACCTTGCAGTTAAGTGGGGTCATTCAGGTCCTCATAGGTAGAAAGTGAGCAGAAGCTTTGGGCCACTGTTGAGTCTGAACCAGAAGATACTGCTGTGTAGTCTTTCTACCTATTTGTTCCACTGGAACCAGTTGATATCTAGCTACCATGGTGGCCATATGTACCATGTAGATGATGTCCATTTCTAGGAAACAGCACCGTTATAAGAGCAGGGAAGAAGGATTCTCAAACTATTCTGACTGGGACAGAGAAATCAACTTCTGTGTTGCTAGGTTTCTTTGTTACAGTAGCTGAGCCTTTGTGCATATAATGCAGAAAGACATACACGAGACTTTACTACTGATTGTTTCTAGGAAGCAAAGATGTACTGTGGAAAGACTAAAGCTTTATGGTATATCTTTCTGTAAGACCTGAATTCAAAAAGTTTATATGTACATATTAATATATATTCATTTAAAAATGACAATAGAATGCATAGCAATATTGAACTTCTCCTTTTTTAAAGTAATTTTATTGAGAAACAAATAGCAATGAGACAGTCTCAAAACCAATTAATAGGACAGTTTCAATAATTAATACATTACATATCATTGTCTTCATAGTGGTTATTCATAATACAAGATACAGACATGATATCCTGTCCAAACACTATTAGTACAAAACTTTCTTCTCATTGAATTAAGAGAAAGTAGCTGTGTATCTGTCCTAACTATTTTGTATGTACAGATGCAAAATGAACCTTCATTTGTATCCCCGTTTTTTGTTTAGTTTTGTCTGAGATGGGTATTCCATTGTCATTTAAATATTGTAGGTGCATGAATTCAGCAAAATATTCCAATATAGTCCAGTAGTCCCTAATAGTAGTGGGTTATCTGTAGGACTGTCAATGAACTTCTCATTGACAAATTGTAGGTCTGAGTTTCTCACACCAGTCCTTTAAATGAACAATAAGCAAGTTTCAGAAACAATTTTTTAACTACTGAGTTCACTAACTTCACTTTACGAAGGTATTTGCTAAGGAAGAGATTAAACTGGATGTTTCATTAACTTTTGATTCTGCTAATGGAACACTGTTAAAGTGCATGAGAATAACATAGATTTATAATTTCTCATGTTATTGAAATGTCTACATTTTAATTTTACCAGAACAACTAGAGACTAAAGAAAGAACTTCTATCCAACACCACATTCAGGCAATATCATGGAGATGTTATAGACTGAATATTTGCTTCTTTCTAAATTCATATATCAAAAATCTAACTCCAAGTGTGATGGTAATTGAGAGGTGGGGCACTTGGGAGGGATTAGGCCTCATGAATGGGATTAGTGCCTCATGTCAGATACTCCATGGAGCTTGCTCATCCTGTTATAGCTTGTGTTTTAGGTGACCCACAGAGCCTCATGTGCTCATAGTTGGAGCTTTCCAGAGGAGTGTGATGCTGTAACTATATGCGTGATGCTGAGGCTAAGTATGTGTGGTCACTAAATTAGTTCACTGATTGGTTCCCTGAGTGTGGAGATGGGAAGGTCCACTCTGGGTGTGAGTGCTTCATGCCCTAAGGATACGTAGCTTGTGTAAATATAAAAGGACAGAAAGAAGGCACACAGGCTGTTGTTGTTTCCTTCCTACTTCCTTGCTTTGCTGCCTTTCTGCCTTGTGCCCACCATGAACTATTTCTCCTCTGTGCAGCCCCTCTGCCATGTCACCCTGCCTTGGAGGCAGCCAACTCTGAACTGAAACCTCTACAAACCTCTTTTTCTTTGACTTTGGGTGTCGGGTATTTTGCCTTAGCAATGAGAGAAGTAACTAAGACACTCTCTGCATGAGGTAAAGAAGCAAGCTGAGGTTAACAGGCTGAAACCCAGATGAGTACCCTGATCATAACCCAACTGAAGGCTGGTGCCTTCATGCTCCTCTAGAGCCTCATGCAGTCATGGAACAGGCTTCTAGAGTTTTGGATTGGTTCATGGTTCAATACTGGGGTTGGGGTTGTGAGTGCAACACCCACTCTGGGGTAGGTAGGCTCCACACAATATAGGGGAGGGAAAGAGGCTTGCTGCTTGCTCCTCCCTTTTGCTCTTGCTGCTTTTGCTGTGTTCCTTCACCGTGAACTGCTTCCCTCTGCCATGCACAATTCTACCTTGCAGCCAGCCTAGTATGGACTACAACTTCCACTATCTGTGAGCTAAATAAACCTTTTCTTCCTTAATTTTGGGAATCAGGTATTTTGTTCCAGTAATGAGAGAAAAATAGCCAAGACACCAACCATACCATCATGCTGATCTTGGATTTCTAGCTTTGATAGTACTGAAACTCAGAACAGTGAGAATAAATTTCTCATGTTTGCAAGACACCCAATCCGTGGCACTTTGTTATGGGAACTGAAACTAAGAAAAGGTTTGCAATCCAACTTCCTCTACATTATTCTTTTAGAGAATCTTTTCAGTTGAATGATATTTTTTTAAAAAAATTATTTCCTTGTCTCAACAAGCACAACCACAAATATGCCAGAGTTCACAAAATAGGATTTAAAATTACAAAATTGAATTGTCCTAAGAAAACCTGTACTGG